AGTATTTCAGTGATTTGAGCAATATCCAGTGCATCAAGTGGATTGTGGTAGCACCAGCATGTATCAACTTAAGTGCTTACAAGCGGGCTCTTCAAGTTGAACCTACTTGTTCTTGTAAGTGTGGATACGTTAAAATGGTAGTTTCCCAAAATGAGGGGACCCCAATATAGACCCCAAAATACTATAGTCCTTATTATGGGGACCCCCAAAAAGGTTACCCCTAATTTTGGGAAACCACCAAATTGTGGTGATGCATCCCTGCTTCATCATCAGTACAAACATGAGTGTTCATGCAGTATCTAAACTTCAGGATTTCGCAGCCATGTTCAATCTTTCCCTGAAACAGGGCTGCATTGCGCATGTTCTGAAATGCTGATGTAAACCCTAAACCCTACACTCAGCCCTAAACCCTAAAGCTCTTATAGCACGTCGGCAGCAAGCCAACTCTGGAGAAAAGGCGCTTAGCCCTGAACCCGAGGTGAATAGTATTTTATTTGGGGATACTATGGTACCCATTATAGAGTAAGATTCTATCCTCCCTTTATATAATATTTGATACACCAGGAATATTATCTTACTAGGTTCAACCACCAAAAAAACTAAACCCCTAAACCCCAAACCCCTAAACCCTAAAACCCTAAACCCGAGGTCTAGATGGCGGAGGAATGCAGAATGGAGCAGATTCCGGTGGCCCGAGCCTTAGTACCCAGACCTTGTAAAGGATCCCAAAAGTGGACCCCCCCCCCCTCCCCCCCCAGTTTAGGGTTTAGGGGATCAATATTTCCACCAAAAAGAAGGGACATGTATGGGGACAAGTGAGAGGGGGACAGGACTACTACTTAGGGTTTGGGGTTTTATGGGTAATCAAATGAAAGAACAGATGCAACATGAAGCGCAAGCTATACTATGTATAGGGCCTACAAAAAAGTGAAATGGGGACTCTCGTAGCATCTTTGTTATATGGACTCGCAAGTAGGATCCCTAATTGTTCCAAACCCGCCTCTGATGCTTTCCTGCTGATGCCAACAAGGTATGGGCGGAATGGCTGGTGGCATGGGTGGCATGGGCCAAATGGGCATGGGGCAGCCGCAGATGGGCCGCTCTGAACCAGCACTAGACCCTTTTCTTGCCCGTGCACTGCCACCCATGCTGCAGGTGATTGCGTTTGCTGCCACTGAGGCCAGCCACAAATGGGCCAAGGCATGGGCGGCATGGGCCAAATGGGCATGGGCCAGCCAATGGGCCAAATGCAGATGGGCATGGGCCAGCCCATGGGGCAAATGCAGCAGCCCATGGGGGGCTGCATGGGAGGTCAGATGGGCATGGGTGGTATGGGCGGCGGATGTATGGGCATGGACGGTATGGGTGGCCAGTGCGGCCAAATGGGTATGGGAGGAATGGGAATGGGTGGCATGGGCGGCGGTATGGGTGGCATGGGTATGGGTGGTGGCGGCATGGATGGCCTGCAGAACGGTACCGTCAAGTCGTGGAACGATGAGAAAGGCTTCGGCTTCATCATTCCGACCCTCAGCTGCATGAGTGCATGATGTAAAGTCCTTGAATTCTGTTCCTGACTGCTGTGCATCTCTGCAGCAGCAAAAAGGATAAGTAGTGCTTGTATCAAGTGGCAGCAACCAAATCATGGCCTTGAAGGGCCGCTGGCGGCGATGACATCTTTGTCCACAGAAGTGCGCTGACAGATGGCGGCATGTTGGTACAGGGCGGGCAAGTCCAGTTTGAAGTGACATGGAATGCCCAAAAAGGCAGCTTGGCCTGCAGGTTTGAGCTCCAGTTTGCTGCAATGTGCATGGGTTCTAGGTTTGCCTCAGTTCCTTCCCAACTCAATGTCACTCAGGCAAGAGCCAGGCCTCTCGAGTAACAGGCGCAGTGCCCCAGCAGAAGGCCTCAGCGTGGCAGCATGATTCGAAAGATGCTGATATTAGATCCTTCTCCGGTATGTCCGGTACTCCTCTCTAACCCCAGACCTTTTGTTTGCTTCAGGGCGGCGGGAAGGGCGACAGTGGCTTCGGTGGTGGCGGTGGTGGCGGCAAGGCGGGAAGCGGGAAGCATCAGATGTGCGCTCGCCTGCTGCCGCTGCTGCTATTATTAGTACTAGTAATAGTGGGTGTCGTTGTTGTAGAAGTAGTAGCAGTATGCCCTGGATGGGTGGGGTGGTTCGCCCAGGATTTTTCATGCAACATGGTGTTGACTGCGGTTGTGGTTTTCAGGGCTGAGGGTTTGTAGGGTCTTTAGCCTTCAGGCTCTTTAGGGTTTAGGGTTTTTTAGGGTTTAGGGTTGTTAGGGTTTAGGGTTTTAGGGTTTAGGTGTTTTTGGGGTTTTAGGGTTTAGGGTTTTTTAGGGTTTAGTTTTTTTTAGGGTTTAGGTGTTTTTGGTGTTTAAAGGTTTTAAGGGTATAGGGTCTTTAGGGTCTTTACGGTTCAGGTTCTTTAGGGTTTAGGGTTTTCTAGGGTTAGGGTTTTTAGGGTTTAGAGTTTTGGGTATTTAGGGTTTTTCGGGTTTAGGTTTTTTAGGGCTTAGGATTCTTTATGGTTTAATAGTTTTAGGGTTTACGGTTTTTAGTTTTGTTTGGCTTTTAGGGTTTAGGTGCCTTCAGGGTTGAGGGTTTTTATGGTTCAGGGTGCTTAGGGTCTTTTAGGGTTTATGGTTTTTAGGGTTAGGGTTTAGGGCTTTGTAAGGTTTAGGGCGTTTAGGGTTTAGGGATGTTTAGGGTTTTTAGGGTTGAGGTGGTTTTAGGGTTTTTTAGGGTTTAGGGTTTTTAGGGTTTTGGGTGTTTAGGGTCCTTAGGGTTTAGGGTTTTAGGCTTGAGGGGTTTACGGTTTTCAGGGTTTAGGGTGTTTAGGGTCCTTAGAGTTTAGGGTTTAGGGGTTTTCAAGGTTTGCGGTTTTTAGGATTTAGGTTTTTTAGGGTTTAGGGTCTTATAGGGTTTAGGGCTTTCTAGGGTTTAGGGTGTTTAGGGTTTAGGGTGTTTAGGGTCTTTAGGGTCTTTAGGGTTCAGGGTCTTTAGGGTTTAGGGTTTTTTTAGGGTTTAAGATTTTTAGGGTTTCCGCTTTTTAAAGATTTTTTTGGTGTTCAAGGTTTAGGTGTCTCTAGGGTTGAGGGCTTTTATGGTTTGGGGTGCTTAGGGTCTTTGAGGGTTTAGTGTTTTTAGGGTTTTGGGCTTTTTAGGGTTTAGAGCGTCGAGCTCAGGTATCACAAGCCACCTGAAAGATTAAGTACATGAGGTCCCGCTAAGGAGCTTGTTTTAGGGACTCTCCTTTTCACCGTTTGCTAGAAGGGTGCGCAAGGTGTGGATGAACTTACAAACTCGTCCCCGTAAACTCTTACATAGGCAACATACCCAAATCACTTACAATACTGTTCCTGCCGTTGCTCTGGTACGTTTAGGTAATAAGAACTCTTGGGGCCCGGGCAAACCTGCCCACCCCGCCGTATCAGTAGTAGCAGCAGTAGCAGTAGCAGTAGCAGTAGCAGTAGCAGCAGCAGCAGTAGCAGTAGCAGTAGCAGTAGCAGTAGCGGTCGTCGTCGTGGTAGTGGTAGTGGTAGTGGTAGCGGTAGTGGTAGTGGTAGTGGTAGTGGTAGTGGTGGTGGTAGTAGTAGTAGTACTATTATGTACTACTATTATCACTACGACTATTAGCATTACCACTCCTCCTCCTCCTCCTGCTCCTCCTCCTCCTCCTCCTACTACTACTACTACTACTACGACGCGCGCGTCGGATATCTGACGGTGGGGTTTTTGAGTACATTTCAATGGTTTACAACATTCGGAAATGC